GGGTTCATGTATTCACCCAACGAGCAATGTACAAGGTGTTTGTAGTTCAACGGTCAGGATATTGTCTTCTGATGTACGAGGGGTTCGACTCCCGACAAACACAAATATATAGTAATGTGATGTGAGCTTATCTTAAATTTTAACAATGGGTCTTCACAATGTCGCTTCTTGGTCTTATTTTATTTCAACAGACTAATCATTAGAAGACCAATGGTAACTGAGGTATGAGACGTGCTTTTGTGCAAGTGTTTGTAGTCCAACGGTTAGGATAATTGCCTTCCAAGCAATAGACCTAGGTTCAACTCTCGGCAAATGTAAATATTTACTAATGTGATGTGTGAGCTTATCTTAAATGTTAACAATGAATGGGTCTTCACAATCTCGCTTCTTTGTCTTATTTTATTTCAGCAGACTAATCATTAGAAGACCAATGGTAACTGAGGTATGAGACGTGCTTTTGCACAAGCGTTTGTAGTCCAACGGTTAGGATAATTGCCTTCCAAGCAATAGACCCGGGTTCGACTCCCGGCAAACGCAAATTGTCCACCACCACTTGCTAGCTTTGTTTTTCTCCACCACCACTGCTAGCTTTGACAGTGCAGGGGTAGTCGTCATGGCAAGTGGAGCCGATTGATTACTCTTCAGCTATACCCTTTTGACCTCCAAATCAAGTACATACAACCTCACATTCTCCAATACAATCAATTTTCCCTCAACCAACATAGTCTCTCTCAAAATTGGCTCCTTCGCCCAACGTGGCGACTCTACCGGCTTCAACATTGTCTTTGTCATTTGCTCTAGGTTTCCCCCTTCTACTTCTTGGGTTAGAAATATTATCACTGGAGCCAAGGCAGCATCGTCGCTGAGCGATGATCCCTCTTCATGGGTTAGACATATTCTCGCCGAAGCCAAGATAGCATCGCCGCTGAGCAGCGATCCCTCTACAGTTTTCGATGGTTAAGAAAGTGTTTCTCTACGCCTCCTCTGAACCAAGTTGTTGACATCTTCACGAAAAGTGTTTCTCAACCTCTCTTTGAATTTTTCAGATCCAAACTTCACGTTCGTTCAAATCCGACCCTCAACTTGCGGTGGGGTGTTAAGGATATTTAGTAATAAATTATAGTTTACCATATATATCATATTTGATATTTCATTATAAGGAAAATATCTAGATATTTGCATTCTTGCCCATCTTTCTATTTATTACTCTTTCCCTAACTTTCACACTATTTACGTGCGTGGATTAAGCAAACATTCTCAGTTTTAAATTAAAATTCAAAAAAAAAAAAAAAAATCCCATGAAATTTGAAATGTAGGGTATGAGATGGATGGTTGTTTATAAAAAGGAAAGGCAATTCAATTGGGGAGAAGAAGTCTAAACTTGAGAAATAATTGAAACAAAGAATTTTGGTCATTACCACCACCATGTTCTTGGTCCAGCTTCAACAATTTGAACCTCTTCTGGACGCAACCTCCCTACTAACTCAAATTTCTAAGGACGCCGACGTGAGATTCACCGCGTTTATGCTCTCGTTAATTGCCTCGCACACTTCCCCTCGCTTCGTCGCAACGCTGCAAATGTCGTGCCGATTGTTCACCAACTACTCCGTCGACCATTATTACAGTTCGAAGGTTTCCCTCGAGTCCTTCCACGATGCTATGTTGGATGGTGGAAGTTTTTCTTCAATGTCAATCCATGTTTTGGAATCAAGACAACAAATGATCCTTAGATATGAGAATCCATCAAGTTAGTATACAAGAAACAACAATCTTGTTTCTTTTGGTTTCAAGAACATAATTTCCTTCAAATTCTTTCAAGAAAATCACTTAAATTTCTTCATTATTTCCCTTTTAGGCAATGACCCACCATTGTATCTTGAATTGCCATTGTCACCACCACAAGCCGAGAGCTTAGGCCAAGTTGAATATGGCAAATTTTTCACTGTTAATTCTAAAGTGTTAAGGAAAATTATAAAAGAATTGCCTCTCTTCCACGATGATTTAGGTATCAATTCTCTCTCTCTCTTTTTTTTTTTTTTTCTTTCAAATTTGATTTTGTTTTTGATTTCGATACCTTGTTTATATGTCATAGTTCGTGTCGCTGCAACGAGTACTCGAGTCAAGTTCTCAATAGCATCTAAGGAGATTACTGTTACTAAAGAGGTATTATATTGTTCATGTTCATCTCAAAAGCTTACAATTTGAAAGAAATTAAGCAAAATAAAAGCTTTAAAATTGCTTGATTTTGAACAGAGTGGAAATTGTAGGATCGTAGGTTATGAAGGAGAAGATGAAACTGAGCTGCATATCACTTTTCGTCCCATGATGTTTTTCCTTAATTTTACGTATAAAGCGAATAGGGTTTGGTTTTATAAGACAACTAATTCTCAAAGTGTAATTAGTGTCCCAGCTTTTGGGATGTATGGTCAATATGTGGTCTATTTTCCCAAATTATGATCAAAATATTGAATACTCAAATGGCCGAAGATTTTGTTATGAATGTGAATTTCTTATAATGTATTTTGTCATTCTCACAAGTAGCATATTTACTAGGAGACGTCATATCGTAATTTTGTTATGAATTTCGAATACCTTACCCTTACCTCTCGAGCTCAACAAAACAAAGTTAATATGTGTGGTGCATATAAATAAACTGATACCACATCTGAATAAAAGTGGTATTATAAATATGAAAGTTAAGAAGTGCTTTTGAAAGTTACCATTTGTTAAAATAAAATGCATATTCCTTTCTGGTGTCTCGACCAGAGATTTTCTTTGAATAATTTTATACTTGGTGATTTCTAGTAAATTTTCTTAGTAACCGTGAGTGAGGCACAATATGCTGAAAGAATTTGTATTAATTTGTGAGGAAAGAATTTGTATTAATTTGTGAGGATAGTTTTTACTCGTGGATGCTGAAGGCAGGACCGTTCATGTATTAAGATGAAAAAAAAAAAAACTTGCTAGCAATACTTTTGGCTTTAGTTTTGTAGTGTTACGATATTGATAGACTTGACTTGTAAACTCTTTTGTAATAGTAATTGGTTGCCGCTCGTGGATGTAGGAAAATTTCTTCTCTTCAAATCTCGTAAATTTTTGTGTCGATTTGTTTATTTTTATTCGTGGGTGTATGATTGCGATCAATTTTGCTTTAGCTTCCGTTACAACAATGGCTATTATTCAAGGAAATATGAAAAGCAAATCCACATGTGAGCACGTCTAGTGGTCATGAAGTTAAGTCTTTCATAATATCCCAAATACCACAACTTGTACTCTAATACCACTTGTTGTGTCGTAACTTTCAATGCTGACATTTAATGCTTTAATACTCAATTGTTGTAGCCCAAATGGCACAATCAAAATGTTATGATACTCAATTGTTGTAGCCCAAATGCCACAACGAAAATGTTATGATACCTAATTGTTGTAGCAGAAGCGAAAGCAAGATCGATCACACTCACACACCCACTAACAAAAATTAAACAAAGAGACACAAAGATTTACGTGGTTTGGAGAAAAAAATTCTCTTACATCTACGAGTGGTAGCCAATTACTATAACAAAAGTGTTTATAAGCTTATCTCTCACACTCTCCCCCTACAAAAATTCTCTCAATTATCTTTAGGAAAATACAAGATGACAATGACTCCCCACCTAAAAAAAAAAAAAAAATGATAGACAAGCATTTATATAGACATAACAATACCGATTCTCAAACCAAATAAATGAGAATATGAAACAAAATGGTTATAAAAAAAAAAAAAGAGAGTTAGTAACCAAAATAAATGAGAATATGAAACAAAATAGTTATGAACTAAATGAGAATTTTGACAATATATCTTCATACACTAAGATGTGCCTATCATGTGAGCCTATCATGTGGGGATAATTAGGGGACTTGCTAACCCACCTCTAACCGTGAACGAATCTCGATTGACAAGAGTTTGCATTGCGATGTCAAAGATAATGCTATGAAACTTTTGGGATTTGATCTAATAACCCTGTTGAAAAACAAGGCCTTTAGATCTAAATTATTGAAAAACTCAAAAAACGACAAGATTCTACCTGAAGGAAAGTTTTGGAATAGATTACCTTGATGATCAAAATCGAGAGTAAAGCAAACTCGTTTCTAAACTTGTAATTCGAATAACTCTACAGGAGGTTTGTTCAATACCACTTGACTATAGCATGAAATTTTAAACACCGAATTTGCCAAAGAAAAAACTTAGCTTTCAACTAAACTAAAATAAAAACTCTATTTTTTTTCAGTTGCAAAATGTGATGTCGACCATAAGAGAAGGCTTTACATAGCTTTTGAGGATTACATTATAACCGAACTCCCATATTAAAACCTAATCTAAATAAAAATTAAAATAATGCAATAAAACAAATGTGTTATATCGAGTAACCATCTTTGTACTAAAATTCATAAATTCAACTATGAGTTCATTAAATGTAAATTAAAATGCATCTAATGCATCTCTATTTTGAAACTCAACTTTGTACAATAGGTAGGGAAAGATTCCAACATCTTCTAGAATTTCCTTTAACGAGTCCATCATAGCTTGAATACAAGTGACTAAAGCTCGTTGTAACTTCTTTACTTTTGTCCTTGTAATTCGGCCTTGAGGTATGAAAATTCCTCGATCTTGATTCATATCAGACGGAGTCACTTTTTATAATTTACTGAACGATGCATGGACTATTAGGAGTAGCCAGCTAATCGATAGAAATCTATATGGATGAGCAAGAGTTGGTATCAATAGGATGGTGCCCTGAATATAAAATGATCCATAGACCAGAAGATTTGTTCTACCTTACCCATTTATCATGTTGATCTTCGGCCTTAAACACATCCATCGGTTCTTTAGGGCATGTTGTCTACTCACTCAACTTAATGAAACAGCCCACGTTGAATTCTCGAGATCCATGTTCTCAATCAAAGTCTCCTACTTTTCCCCTCACTTCGTAGCAGCATTAGGCTTCAAACCTTCGTTCTTTTTCTGTTACATCAATTCAGATACACAGCTTTGCACTCGGAGGATTCCACTCAAGAAATTCTGCCATTATTTGACCAACGGCTTAACTTGTTTTTCAATGCTCTTCACTCTAGTTTACAATAACCCACCTCGCGCAGTCCTTGCTTTTAGGAATTCTTGTAAGTATATAGCTCATTTCTTGACCAAGTTAAAATCTTTTTCCCTTTGATTTCAAGAACATAATCCAATCTCGATCAAGAACATAATCTTGATTCTTTCTTGAACATTTTTGTTGTAAGTTGTCACAAAAATGTATTGTCATAACTCTTATTAAATTCTCGTTCATATTATCATTTTGATACATGAATCATCTCAGACTATATAAAGGGTTGTCTAGGATGGTTGAGAGTATTGAATTTAATTGAGTCTGAGTGTCATTTTGTACTTATCGAGTGAAAATTGAGAGAAATTTTGTAATAAGAGAGGGTGAGATATACATTTTGTAAACACTTAGATTACGAAATCTCGATCAAGAACAGAATCTTGATTGTTTCTTGAACACTTTTGTTGTAAGTTGTCACGAAGATATATTGTCACAATTCTCATTAAGTTCATAACCCTAACCGTTCATATTATCATTTTGATATATGAATCATCTCAGACTATATAAAGGGTTGTCTAGGAAGGTTGAAAGTATTGAATTTAATTGAGTCTGAGTGTCATTTTGTATTTCTTGAGTGACATCTAAGAGAAACTTTGTTGAGAGACTTTGTACTAAAAGAGTGTGAGATACATTTTGTAAACACTTTGATTATTGAGACTGGTTACTATCCATGGATGATCTTTGTTTAATTTTGTAAACACTTTCTGATAAATCTTTGTCTGTTTGTTTAATTTCTGTTTGTGAGTGTGTGAGTGCAATCGATCTTGCTTTCGCTTTTGATACAACAGCTTTAATCTCATTTTGATCTCGACATATTGAATCCAGTTATTACTAATGATGATCAATCGACATTCATTTGTGAAATGATGTCGTCAGATCCAGATGATCATGAGGACGACATAAATTGCAATATTGACTTTAAAAGCTTTGTCTCAATTGATTCGAAAGAGTTCCAACGTGTTGTAGAAGAGTTTAGAAACATTATAACAGGTGATAAATAGTTCATGTCTTGATTCTTTTCTTATATTACTTAAAAGAAAAGTGTTGATGTTCTTCAAAACCTATTGTCTTTGCTTATAGTTTATGTTTTCGTGACGAACTTACAAGTGAGGTTCACATGTGCATTGAAAGAGATTATTCTTAGCCAAGTGGTAAGTAATTCAAACCATTCATTGTTCATATGCATGGAAGAAATGTGTATGAATAAATTCATGGTGTTTTGTAGGAAGAACAATGCATTATTGGAGGTATTGAAGATGGACAAGAAATTCAATTCGTAATCACTCTCCATCCCTCGAGATTTTTTAATGAATTGTCATCTCAAGTGGGAAGGGTATGGTTGTACCGGACAAGCAATGCTCGAAGTGCAATCTTTGCACCTATTAACTCAAATGCTCAATTTGTGGTCTATTTTCCCATAATGTGACATGGGAAATCCATGCTCAATTTGTCTTTCCAGAGTCTTGAGCCACGGACCACAACTATTGAGCCTTGAGGTAACAAGAAATCCATGCTCGAGTCTTGAGCCATGCATGAGTCAAAACCACGGCTCAAACCTATCTCGATTCCTGTAATTCCATAGTTCGTATATGAACTCACCTCGAGTTGACAACTCAAGTTTGATTTGTAAAATAAATAAATAATATGCAAATATACAATAATTAGCTTATCCTTTATTTTACATGGTTATTAAGACTCTTTTCATTTCATTAGTTCCCATCATTCGACCAGTAGGAGCCCATCTATCTAATGAGGGTTGCCTCGAGGTTCTAGGTTAATAGCTTTTTACTATTCCCTTCAATTGCTCTTCTTAATCTAGCATGTTGGAGCTCATCATTAATGATTCTTCGTCGCTCATCTAGTTTCTTGGTTCTTATAGTCTATCATAATCTAGCCCCTAGGATTCATCTGTCTACTTGTCGTGATATCAATGTGGACACTCTCTTCATGGTTTACTATTAAGGAAAAACTATCAAATCCCTAACATCTCCACATCATATCGTTCATACCATAATCACTAGAATATTACGAAAACTCGTTTGGACAGTCAACGATTAAGGATAAGCTAGCAAATCGTTAATTGTTCTCTACGTAGCAGTATAATTGAATCATCTAATAAATCATAGGTAAGACATTGTAACTAGCATAACTAAATAATTTAGCTTGTTCTCTAATGGTCAAAATTCTTATTGTATTAGAAATTTCATCCGAATTCGGCATACGTGCATACATACATCATTGATCAAGCTCTCAAGACTTAAATCTAATTCAAATATAATCTAATTAGTTCTCGTTAATCTATATTTGTTCATAGTACTCAATTGTAATCGTAATCGTAATCAAATCCCCATAATCCTTTGAACAATGATAACAACAACTCTGATCTTGGATGTTCCTCATTAATCTCTTCGATTCCTTCCACCAATCGAAGGCTACTTTCAATGGTTGAAGAAACTCCAATGATAGTGGGTTTAAGTTCTTACTTTCAATGTTGTTTTCTTCCCCAAAACATACACAAGGCCTCAAATTCTCTAATCAAACACGTTTAAAACTCAACACGTTTGAAACTCACTCAATCTCCTGTTGTAAATTTTCATGAAGAATCGGTTCGTGAATCTAACTTTTTTTTATATATTTCATTCTCATATGCATGTACCGATTGAAATTCATTTGATTTATTTCCCTTTTTTGTTCAATTTCCATGGACTATCTTGATTCATATATAACATCATTTTTTTCTATGCCTATATAAAGAATTGTTTAGGATGGTTGAGATGCATTGAGAGTGAGTGTCATTTTGTATTTACCTAGTAACATTGGAAAGAAAGAGAGTATGTAGTGTGAGTGTGTGAGATATATGAGGCTGAGGTCCAACTACGAGGCTGAGGTTCAAACTCAGGTTCAACTACGAGGCTGAGGTCTAGGTCTAGGTCGGAAGCTAGTTTTTTAACCTAATTTGGTGCTTCTATTTGTAGCCTAAGTTTTGGCCACTAGTCATGAGAATTGCTATGAAATTGGGACAAATTGCTATAAAAAGAGAAGTTTGGAGGATGGACTTTTCGTGATTGTCTCTTCCAACAACGATTCTTCCTTCACCAACTAGAACGAAAAGTGGTACTAAGTCTTATACTTATGTTTATATAGACATAGCAAAACTAATTCTCATACATAAATCTAGATGATTCATGTACCAAAAGGATTATGAACTAATAAAGGAGAGTTATGAACGGTTATGAATCAAATAAATAAGAATATAAACCAAAAGGGTTATGAATCAAAATGAATGACAATACATGCAAAGGAGGTGCATGAACCTATTCTTTATCGCAACTTACAAAAAAAAAAAAAAAATACACCATTAAATAAAATTTGTTACTTACTCATTCCATGCATATAAAGAAAGAACAAAAGTGAGGGAGATTAATATAAAACTATCGTCAAATTCAAACAATTTAGGCCCTCCATTGAAACGCTATCATCCCACGAACCATGTTAATATTCAAGCTTGACCCCTTGGCTCCTTTTTTGGACACAATCCCAATACTTGTTCACATTGGTAAAAAGGCCAACATCAAAAGCACATCGTCCATGTTAACCCTAATGGCCTCACCCCCTTCCAATCACTTCATTGCATCGCTCCAAATCTTGCCTGAATTCTTCACCTACTTTAACTCCGATGAGCCTCACCATTCAACAATTCCCCTCGAGCTGTTCTACATTACTATGCTCCGTATGGAAATCCGTGGCTTTACTTCAATGTACTTCACTCTTTTTCAACCACTAACCAAAGTCTTGCTCACATTTCAACGCTCAAGTTCGTACATATTTTCTTCTCTTCAACAAGAATCAAGAATCTTGTGTTTCTTTTGGTTTCAAGAACATATTATTTTTGGTGTTAGGTCATGAGCCCAAAGTGATGTTGTGTGAATTGGATTCGTTACCTTTGGAATTGGAGGAAATGGAGCAAATTGATTATGGAACTTTTGTGTCAATTGATTCACAAGACTTTAGACGTATTGTTCTTGAGTTAGATGTTCATTCCGGTGATATACTCTTCCTTTGAAATCTTTTACATTAAGTTCTTGAAAGAACATGTTTCCTTAAACTTTGTTGTCGTTTGTAATAGTTCATGTTTCCTTAACGGATTCACAAGTCAAGTTCGGTGCTTCAAGAAAGGAGATTGTTCTTACCAAAGAGGTATGATGTCTTTGTTGTAAGTTGTCGTGAATATGTACGGTCATAACTCTCATTTAGTTCATAATTCTCATTAAGTTCACAACTATTTTGGTTCATATTCTCAAGTATTTGGTTCGTGGATAAGAATTAGTATTGTTATGTCTATATAAATATTTGTCTAGCATTGTTTTGATGTGTGAAGTCATTGTCATTTGGTATTTGCCTCGAGGCAATTGGAAAGAATTTTAGAAAAGAGATTTTGTAGCGTGAGAGTGTGAGAGATGCACTTGTAAACACATTTATAGAGATTGGCTACCACTCGTGGATGTAGGAGAATTTCTTCACTCTGAACTACGTAAATCTTTGGGTCTCTTTGTTTAATTTATGTTTGTGGATATGAGTGCGATCGATCTTACTCCCGCTTCCACTTTCGCAACAACAATTGAGTATCATAACATTTTGGCTGTGACATTGTGATATGAGTGGCGTTAGGGCATAACAGTCTTTTGATGTTTACGAGGTTTATTGATTGAATTTGGTTGATGTTGTGTAGGAAAGACAGTGCATAATTGGAGGTCTTGCGGAGGGAGAGGGATTTGAATTTTCGATCACTCTCCGTCCGTTGGCGTTCTTTCATGAATTGAGCTATAAAGCAAAACGGGCATGGTTGTTCATGTCAATTAATTTCTCCACTATCATTGTTTTTCCCCTTGGAACTCGTACTCAGTGTTGGGTTTATTTCTCTCAATGACATCGAACAATCTTGTTGAAACTGAGAATTATGAGAAAATATGGTATTTGGAGTGAGCAAGTATTAAGAATTTTATATTAGAAGTGATTTTGAAATCACTAGATCTTTGTACCCATGGTGATCCATACTCTATAATAACGTGATTGTCCCAACTCGATTTTTGAGGTTTCGAAAAACGAAAACAAGTAAAAATAAAAGTAAAATAAAATGAAAGGAAGATGTGATAAAATTTAAGTAAAACTTAAAAGACAAGTAACACCACACTTAAAACACAAAATGAAATCAAATTACTAAGACTAGTTGTTCAAAATTTAAATGCGAAAAGGGTTTGAGATATAATTCTAGTAGAAAATAGAAAAGATTCCAATACAAAAATACAAGAGATGAACTGCTGCTCTAGAATGACCCCACTGTGACTCTGTATCTCTTGAATGCTCCCCAATCTCAACTAGCAACCAGCGAACATTCGAAAAAGAAAGAAAAACTGGGTGAGTATAAAAATACTCAGTAAGCAACTTACTTGTAGGCTCTGATCGCATCCGTATTCTAGTAAGTATCCACGAGTTTTACTTTGGATTCTAGGGAGTTTGGACTAGGTTCCATTTCTATCTGAGCAACTGGGTATCCTAATGTTTCAAGTAGGTCTCTAAACTAAAGCATACAACTAAAGATTTGTGCTAGTTTCCAATTTTTCTTTTATACGACTTAGGTGGTTTGCCTTACTTATGCAGTGAATGTTCAGTGTTCTGGGTTGAGGCATGGCCTCATAATTTGTGAGACAGTATGGCTGGATTTGAATTTGAATCTGAACAGCAATCTAAACATCACTCATAGAGATTAGCTGATAGACCCTCACACGGGACCATAAAGTCGCCAAAGTTTGGGGGAAGCAATCCCTCCCTATGTTCCAGTCAGCTACTAGATCAACCTACGTGTTCCCACACTCTCCCGCTCAAAAATAGTTTTAGCACAAAGGTCCTTTTTAGGAGAACCCTTAATCATTTCCACAGGTTGGGACACGTGTCTCACTTTCCTAATTGGCGATGCCTATCTCCACAGCACAGGTACCAAAGTAGACTTGACGGTATGGTACCATAACAGAAAGGGTAGTGAATAGACGGGTGATACTATTCGCACTACTATAGGCCAATGAACTACCTTTGTCATTCTTGATTGTTGTGGAGGCCTATGAGGTTCTTAGGGGCTTCTAGGCGTCCCTACCCGATAGCTATATGTTGTAAGCCGTTATTGTTGTCTTTTGCTTGCATCACATATAACACCAATTTCAATCACTCAAATCTTGATTTCAAAACTCTCTTTCGAAATCTCTCTGCCCCCGTTTTCTAAAACTTTCTTCTTGAATCGGGGCCAGAGGCTCAAGCATACGTCGCTTGGCCGTAGGCAATGTAATAATGAATTGGCTTAACTCACTTCTTGCTGGGAAGTGAGTGCCACACAATCGCAAGTCCGCTGTCATCAAAAGTGCGATTGTGACAAGGTTTAAATCTCATCTCTCAT